AGCAAAGTACTGGACAACAGCAGGAAGGAAAAACTCACTTTTAAGAGGCCGAGGGGAAGAAAAAAACAGTTTAGCAGGATAGGACAATTACCTTTACAGATCTTCCAGTGTATTGAAAATGTGTAAAGGGGCGTCAAATTGCACTATTTACTTTTAAACAAGATTTGAAAGGTTTTCTAGAAACTAAAACGTTAATGCTTCAATCACATTGAAGCCCTGCACACAGCCAAATGACAACGATATCTTAAAATTCCTTTATGCCCTTTTTGCAGGCCATCTCCAGGCTATGTGATGACAAGTACAAAGACGTGCGGAAAGCTGCCAGGAAGCGCTCGGCGAGCATGGACAATCTATGCGGGATCCGATGGGTTCCTGCAATCCTCTCTTAACCACTAATATGCTGTCATATAGTGAAGAGTGACATCGTGCTACAGACGCTGCCTGAAGGAGAAAACGTGTGTTTGTGCTCAGTGGAAGTGTGTCAGTGTGAATGGACCCAGGGTGCAAAGCTACATTCTGGAACAGCGAGTGTAACCTGGCACCATCCAACGGACCTGGAGTCAAGAATCGCAAACTACAGTTTAAGCGAACAAGACGTGTTTCTACTTTGACTTAATGCCTTCATAGTGCCTCGATATTTTTGTACTGTAAGAGGGAAGGGAGTTACTGGTTGCCACGTCAACCATTCAAAGACATTCGGAGACAACTCTAGTTTTGGAGTATAAAGGAAATCCAGGACAAGACAAAGGTCTGAAACTTTTGAGGACATGGCATTGTCAACCTGTCTCAGTGTAAAAAGTCTCAATTCGGTTTTCTGGCTTTGTCCAGACAAATCTCTCAGTTTTAACTAGCTTCAGAGATTCTAAATAACCTGTCTTTCAGATAACCCTGCGTATTATTTATTTATTTTCTAAGTACTTTTCAACATTTTCAACTGTGTTTGGCAATTAGTAGTGTAGCACAGGACTTTCTACTGGTTATTTATTTCTTTGATGGGAGTAAGAATAATAAAGATTTCTTCTCTGGAAATATTCAAGGTTTACAGTTCTAGTGTACCTCTTTATGCTCAGGTAGTCTGGTTGATATGTCGATTGACTGTAATGCTCCTCATTTCGGTTATTGGGAGGATAAATGAGATTAGATAATGAAATAAACACCATAGAAAGAAAGGGCTAGAATACATTTAAAGTATCCCTATAGATGTATCAGTATAGCAAAAATCACCAGGTTTTCCTTCAGTAACATGACTCCACCAATTCAAAAGCAGGAGACAGCACGGCCCTCTGCTGACATCTAGTGGTTATTTGTGGTGTTGCAGAAAAAGGCTGCCAGTCCAGGGTAGGACTGGACGAAGTTACGTGTTAACATTACATCGAAAAAGTATTTGCAACACATGTTTCAGAGAACTTCTTTCCTATTATCCCAAATAATCCACATTTTTTGCAGTGAACAGTCTTTATAGACGTTGTAGTCAAATTCTACACAGTATTTTTTGTTACTGGCTGAATGGGGAAAAAAAGAGAAAAGATAGGTGAAAAGATGGAAAGTTGTTTTGTACTGAACATTTATTTAACAAAACAATACATTTACTGTCAAACTCAAATGTGCTGTTGCTACTTAAAATGTTTTATAGTCAAGTAAAATTTAATGTCTAACTTCAAACAAAGAGAATGACATAACTGGTCTGACAAGTGCACTGACCACTGGATGCTGATCTATTGCAGATGTGAGGAGGCTACCCAACATTCCTTTGTTTATATATGTTCAGTATTATAG